ATGTGGCCGTGGCCGAGTACCTCTGGCAAGAGGAGCCAGCGCTTCATGTGCTGCCACCGTTTCTTGTGCAGCGTGTGGCCGAGATGGGCCATGTGCCCGTGTTGGTCTTCCTTTTCGATCGTTTCGGCGGCGTTGGGTTCACGCACAGCGCGATGGAGTCCGCGGCGCAGGAAGGACACCTCGATGCTATGCGCTTCATACAAGAGCACATAAGCAATCCCAGCCACACGTACTCGATGCACCTGTGCTTGTATCTCGCGGCAGCCAACAACCATGTCGACGTCGTGGCCTACCTCGTTCAAGAATTCCCCGAAATGCCCGTAGCTACAGTCCTCCTCGACGCCGTCGCCAGTGGCTGCGCGGACGTCGCTTGTTACCTCGTGACGCAGCGACCAACGGCAGTACCGCTTCGACGACTCCACCGCGAAGCAAAAAAGAGGGTCCGAGCAAACGAACCGCCAATCGAGCAACGCCAACAACTACTAGAGTTTCTACAGGCCGCCCTTCGTCGTCGAGAACCATCCAACGCGCGAGAATCGTGTGTTGCCCAGTAGATTACTCGATATCTTGGTGCGTTACCCTCGCAAATTCAACCAAGCCACGGATCATTTGTCCACGCTCGCACCCAACGACTCCACCTTGTTCACGCATCCCGACAGACGGCACGTCGTATATTGCCGACCGATGAACTCCAGCACATTGAAGAGCTTTTGGCCGCCATCGTTAAACACACATCTAGCACGTAAGTCCAAGTAGGTGGAATACCGGTATGTAGTCTGGATAAAGATTCCAATCCATATCATATCATATCACACGTGTATGTTATGTTGGCTTGAGTTAACTTCGGCTTTTTCGCAGCATACGCTTCGGGCTGGGTGTTGATGCGCTCTACTAGTAGCCTGCACGCCGAGGGCGGTGGGAGCGAGGGATGTATAAGAATGCAAGGCTACGACGAAGCATGTGCAGCAGCAAACAGCCGCCACATGCCGATGGCCAAGATAGCATACTATGCCAAGTCCGGGCCGACATTATTGTCGCACGCACGACCATTAAGAACTCAAAGACCAAGTTGCGATTAATGGCGACCCAAGCGTGGAACTAAAAAATGAAAAGAAGGCAAGTTTAAGCTTTCATGTTACGGATAGTCTTGAAGCTAAGACCGCCCTTCAATCCTTTCCAGCACTCGACTCCTTTTCGTTTTCTCGGGCATGAGCACATACAGGGTCGCCCAACACATGCGAGCAAGCGCCGTACGTGAGGCCACGCACACGACGCTTCATTTCTTCGTGTTGTCACCTAGGCGCGCGGCGGCAGTTGAGGGGCTTTGTTTAGTGTCCCTACAGCGGCTGGCGAATCGGCCGGAGAGCGAATAAAACGTTCGACGGCCCGCCGATCGGCTCGTACCTCCATGACGGGGGATCTTCGCGGCCGGGGGCAAGTACATCTTTCTGTACACGCAAGTCACAGATTATCAGACCATGACGGACTTGCACTTCATCGTCGGCGCAGAGGCCACGGGGAAGACGTGAGGGTGTCCCGGTCGTAGATCCTATCGTTGCGATGCTACGTCGCGCGTCCACCAAACGGGGGCCCTATGCGCTTGCCGAGAAGCTCCAGAGGCTTCATGCCTCCACTCCACTTTTCGCGCGCATCTGATAACCTGTTCGCGAGAACGCCACCGTCGATGGAGGGTGCCGTCATCCTGGACAGGATATCTAAAGCGCGACTAAAGCGCGACGCGCCACAAGTGGGCAATGTATAGACATGGCCACATGCGAGTGAAAACCTCTACCATCCACTGGATGGCATCCAGAACAGGGTAAAAAATGCGCACAACTAGCAGCTGCACTACTAGGGTAAGTCATGGTCCGTCGGCCACACTCTTTTTTGGGCGAAGTAATAGCCTGATAGTAAGCTCGTACTTTGTAAGACGTTGTAGTGTCAGGTGCGCTTTCTATTGCTTGCAAGTTTGTTTTGCAAACGTCGTTGCGTCCAGAGCAAAAACTTATTGGTGAAGAATACCTCAGTCAGTTGTTCGTTACTAGTATGTCAAACATAAGGTCAGGGATGTTGATGGAGTTGAAGAACTGTACGAGGTAGTTGACAGCGGCTTCTTCTTGTAGGCGGTCGTCGTCGTCGTTTGCTGTTGCAGCTTGTATCTCGTCTTCGAGAGCTTCGACACTGTCAGCGGGTGTGTAAACAGGCTGGTCTAATATCTAAGCTTCCGAAACTTGCTGCAAAGATGAAGCGTAAGCGGGTGCGGATTCCTTACGGGGCGGCGCTGGCGACAACGGCTTCGACTTCGTGAAGCAACGCAGCGAGGTGACTCTGTTTCCAAACGTCGAGGATCATGTCGGCGTTGACCGCCAATGAGATCGTGAAGGGCGAGTGAGCAGTGGTGCAACGGTGAAGGGTGAGCGCAGCGAGGCCCGTAGATGCAAAGGCAATCGCGACGCGTTCGTTGGACCGACACCATGCAAGCCGAAGGTTGGACCCGAAGCTCTTTC